AAAAAAAAAAAAAAAAAAAAAAAAAAAAAAAAAGAAAATAGAATAGATTAAAGCAACTTTTAATAACAGCAGTAGTAGACAAAAAATGTGATAATTTCACCCCTAACATAAATAACACGTTTCAACAAAAAAATGCAGAAATCTTAGCCCAAGCAGTCTTATTTTTATTGACCATTAAAAAAACCTTCAAAATATCGATTGCCACTGAGAAAAAGGAAAAAAACAATAGCAACAAATAGGCAAATAGACACTGTTCTCATCTGTCTGCTAACTCTAACAAAGGAAAATGAAATTTTGACCAACCGGACGTTCGATAGTGTTCTGGTGATGGCCCCACGACTGTTCACTAGAATGGTTCACCGAGCTGGAACCTAGCATCCCGTTCTGCATTACAACTGCATCTGTGGACTGAATTTGAATGTTAACATCATGTGAACTACCAGTGGACGAACAAAGATGGAATTCAGAGCACTGCCGCAATGGGACATTGGAATCACTTTGATCTCTGCGATGCCCCACCATCACAATTCTCTGATGCGATTGCCAACAGCACTTGCGATTGCACAATTCCAATTCAACTCTGCAGTTAATTCGTATTACCAATATAAAGTTGATGGAAATGAAGATGCACCAAAAAACATGTTAGTCTTTCTTTCCTTTTCTAAATATATTTCCATCACAATCACGAACAGCATTGAAGACAGAAGAGTAACATCAAGTAGTATAAGAGAGCCAGTCAGTGGATCCGTTTGGATTTAGCTGAATAATAATCAGACAATGCTTGTAGACAGATAAGCGATATACATTTGGATGCTCACAAGAGTAAAAATGCAATCATCTTCTTTCAGTTCATTTTATAAAATATTATTTAGGCGAAATAAAAATCCGAAAAAAAAGTATAGAAGAGGAAGCATAAGACAAGATTTACTACTGTAATGCACGTAAAAGGAAATTTGGAATTCATTAAGAAAACCACAAAACAAAAGAGTAGAGAAAATATTAGATACCGAAATGCATCAATAATATATGAAAAAGTCATGCACCACTTACTGCCTCTCATCCTTTATTTTATCTAAAAAAAAAGGGAAGAAAAAAGTGGTCAACCAGTACAACACACCAAATATCAATATTTAGATGTATACTTAACCAAAGGGCGAAAAAGATGAGAACTAGGAGGACGAAAACAGTAATAAACTGCTCTTCTTTTTTTTTTTTTTGTCTGCTTTTACCTCATACTTAATCTAACTTGACCAATTCACTGTAATTTATAGTTTTCATGATGACGACATCAGGTATGTATGCAAAGAAACTCTGTCTTCAAAAAATTATACCTTGTAGTTTAAACGGCTATCAGCAACCATCTGTTTTTTTTTTCTTTCAGGGGGGAGGAGGGG